AGTACCCACATCAGTCTACGCACAACTTTCTGAAACCCAGCTCCACAGGATCCAATACTCTGCTGGCCTCTGCTGACATCTGCATGTGTGCACAGGAATAAAAAAAGTTCACAAGGATAGCATCTATAAATTTTTTGCTCTCTAAATTATTTTCCCAATGTTTCCACTCTACTAATATATTGTATATATAATTGCATGCCCCTTAATGATGAGACTCATTCTGAGAAATGTGTTGGAAGATGACCCCTCATGTATTAACATCATATAATATACACACTCAAACCTAGATGGCAACGTTTATTATTTGCCAATGCTGTATGGCATATCTTATTGCTTCTGGAATACAAACATGTATAGCTGTGACTATGAATCCCTTACTATAACACAATGGTAAATACTTGTGCATATGAACACAATTAGACATTAAAGATAGAGTAACAACACCAGGTAACAGAATTTTCAACCCTATTATAACAGGACCACTGTCTTATATATGGCCCATCATTGACACAAGAATACTTATGTTTGGGATTGAAGTGCAGAAATATCTACAAACAAGCAGTGTGGTTATAATTATCAAGTTTTATTCTCAGTAGCCCTGATTCCATTTTCCCTTAGAAAATAAACATACTACACTGTTTGTTTTTAGACATCATTTTCTTACAAGCTTTAAAGAAATAAAGCCTTTTGAGATATGAACAATCTGTACCCTACTTATTTAAAACAGGCTAAAATAAATATTTAACATTGCATCTCTAAGTATTTGGTTAGCTGTGTTATTGTAATTGGTGTTTATTTTAGCTGGATCATGTCCTTATGCTTCCAGGGGTCTTTCAGATTTAACAACAGCATTGCTTTTGTACATTCTGGGTAGCCTGAATGAAGGTGAAAACCATAATTTTGATGCTTTATTGCCTTAGTAAGTCTTGGCTGCTATATGAAGAATACTATAAATTGGATGGTTTAAACAAAAATAATTTATTGCTTGCAGATTTGGAGACTGAGAAGATCTAGATCAAGGCACAGATCTGGTGTCTGGTGGGGTTCCTGGCTTCTGCACGGCTACCTTTGTGTTATAATTTTACATAACAAAGAGAAGCAACTTCATGCCTCTTGAGTCTTGTGTGTGTGTTCATATGTGTGAGTGCACATATGTGTCCTAGTGTGCATGAACATGTGAAGGACAGAAGATAACCTTGGTTTCTATTCCACAGATGCCATCTTCTTTGTGTTTTATAGCAGATTCTCTCACTAGCTTGGAATTCACAGAGGCCCCAGGGATCTGCCTGCCTCAGCCTCCCTGCATTGAGCATGTGCATCCCCATGCTTGACACTTTTGAGTTCTGAGGATTGAACTTAGTTTCTTCTGTTTGCAAAGTGAACACTTCACCAACTGAGTCCCTTGTTTATTTTTAAGAAATATTTATTTTTTTTAATAATGTCATGTGTGAGGACTGTATTTACAACATTTCCATCCTGTCTGAAATAGTCCACCTGCAGGGACCATCACACTGGGGAGTTATGCTTAAGCGTGGGAATTTTGGAAAGATACTTTCAGTCACAGCATTCATCTCTCCAAAGAACCCTGCTCTTATCCATCTGTGAGGACATGCAGTTCAGGTTGTAACACACACACCTACAAATACATATGCATTGATTTTTGAGGCAGGGTTTCAACATAGCCCTCTCTACATAACCTCAGCTGTCTTAGAACTCACTATATAGTTCAAGCTGGCCTTAAACTCATAATCTGCCTGCCCCTGCCTTGCAAGTACCAGGTAAATATTGACTGTGACTCCTGATAAGAGCTGTAAGCTGTCTTCCCTAATTTCCCAGCTTCCTGCATCTTTAGAGTGGCTTCTGAGCCCACAGGGGTCAACATAATACTTCATCCTGTCAAACATCCTCAGCTTCCATGGGATGGGTGAACTGAGGTATAGTCAGATCTTTTCATATAAAATTGTAATGAGAAGGCTCTTTAAAAATGACCCATTTCTATGCCTTTCTTCAATAAAGGGGGTAGGAGCTAAAAGCCAGAACACAACTTTGTTCAACACTTCAGGTCACTGACTCATTAACACTAACTACTGTAATAGCAAATTGATTTATCTCATTTAATGTCAACATTTTCCTCCAGCCAATTTATTTGCTTATTTGGGAACCTCCCACTTTATCTTTTACAAAGCATGCAAGGAAAATAAATGGTTGACTAGGTGAAAAACATGTGAATTCTGCAGGTTCAACTCTACCCCTACTTTACGTCTTAGATGTATAACTTGAAGAAAGTGGCCCAGCTACCTCCATTTTCCCTTTTGAAAACTCAGCCCGCTCCTCAAAGTTACTTGAGTCTTCTATCTACAACACACATGCCCAGTCGAATGAAAACTTTCCTGTTGGTGTGTGGTTTGGGATATATAATTTATATATATATATATATGTGTGTGTGTGTGTGTGTGTGTAAAATTTTAGATCATTGAATAATGGATGATTTTTGCAGAGAGAGAGAGAGAGCTAGCAATGCTGTGGAATATCTGTCTAATGTTAATGACTTCTGAGTAGAATCTGTCACCTTTTAGATTGATTTCTTTTCTAGAAAGGAGAGCAAGTGATGGACATTTCTTTGGTATCTCCCATGGGTTTCTGCTTTTAGACAATAGCAGTAAAAACTGCTCTTGCCTAATGATATTCCTCTGTTGAGGTGAAGCCAGCATTGAGAACAACACACCCATATCATCCCTCTGAGTACAACCCAGTGGGCTGGTGGGATGCCCTTCCCACCCCTGGGCTGCCCCTCCCACCCCATCCCCACCCCTACTCCCTACTTCTAGCTCTAGAGTTGTCTCTCCAGCTGGGATTTATGTAATAGGAAGGTCCCTGGAACACACCATGGGGCCAGCATCAGTTAGGCCTGGCTGAGATCCCCTCTTTCTCTAAGCCTGAAAAAATGGAAACATCTGGCAACCATACGGGTTGCTCATCTTTGTACTCCTGGCCTGAGAATGGACAGAGGGGTCTGGGAACACGGGGAGTCAGATAAATAGCACAGCTGGCCAACTGTGGCCTGGTGGGTTCGTGGAACAGAGTAAAAGAGACTCACGCAACCCTAGCTGGCTCTTGATGCTGCTAGGGGAGTCAGACAGGAAGAACATGTGGATGTCATTGTGCTGCTCAAATGCTTCCCACAGGAAGGAAAGCAATTTTCTTGATGCCAATTTCTCTCCAAGTGCCAAGCAGCCTTCCTGTCTCACTGTGGAGGTCGCCTTGGCACGGGGCCCAATGGAAGAAGCGGGGATAGCACAGAAGCCTTTCACTCAGGTCCACATCGAAATACTGCTTCCCCCAAGCATGTTCCTTTCACTTCTCTGTTGTTCATTCCCATCACTTCCCACTCGCCTGTTTCCATGCAGGCCTCACACACACTGGCCCTGAGAAAGCCTAAGCACAGTCAAGGATGGCATGGGGTAGAAGAGCTGAGACTCCAGGCTCTCCTGCATCTTCCTTGCTCTTGGATGAGCTGTACAGACTTGATGGAGGACAGTCACAATAAAGTCGCACTTGCTAATATTTTGAGTCTTCCTCTGATTGTAACCTTTTTCTTAGTGGGTGACTGTCATCTAAGCACTACAACTAAAATTCACAATGATTTCCTGGCTTGTGCCCATCTGAGATGCAGGAATGTCTTCTTAGATTTTTTTTTTTTTATTTAGTGTATTCATTCACAACTTCAGTCATATCCCTAATGTACTCTCCCTCCTCCCATGATCTTCTCTTATGACTTCCTTCGTCCCTTCCTACTTTCCTACTTTCCTGTCTCTTGTTTTGTACATGATTCATTGTATTCAATTAAAGTTGCTTGCTGTGAACTAGGGGTTATTTTCTTGAGCAAGGACAACTTACCAGCAGATATTCTAGCTGAGGATTATGACACCCCTTTCTCAGGCAATTATTAACTGTGCTCTTCATGCACGAGTAGGGCCTCATGATCCCTCCCCCATCGTGGATGGAATATTGATGGGCCCTGTCTTCTACAGGCAACCAATACTACTGCTAGTTCAGAGTGCAACAGCCATGTTTTCAGGTGTGTATCCACTTGCTTCTCAGAATGTAAAAGCTGATTCTTCCCACAGGTAGCACCTACTATAGACTAGGGCTCTCTGTTATGCTAGCACTATTCTCTTCCTGACATCCAAAGGCAAAAACAAAAGGTATTAAACTTACAGTACAAGCTGAAGTGCTCTGAGTAGAAGATTTATCTTTCCACTAGCTGGCTCTCCAGCATCAAGGCAGGCCAGCAAAGACCATCCACAGGGAGTTTTCCTGTTTATTAAAAGCTCTTAGCTTATTAGAACACATTGGAAAGCAGCCACCAGCAAGGTCAAGTGGCCTGGAAAGCCAATTAGGAAGAGATCAGTATCTGGAATATTGATTTTTCTATTTTTAACCATTTTTTTTACAATGAAAACTAATTTTTAAAGGCAGGATTCCACAATAGAAAAAACAAACAAACAAACAAACAAAAAACCCCAATCTTCTGCTAAGAAAAGCCTTGATCATTTAGAGCTATTTGATATGAGGACTACTGGTTAGCGTGATTGGTGGCCTGGCCTCAATGTAGATGACCTTGAGAGAAGACGTCGAGAGCACCATCTGAAAAAGGCAACTGAAAAGAGCAATCCCTAAGCATGAATATAGGGCAAAAGCAGAGTGCCCAAACTCGGACACTGTTACGGAGAAAACAAATTCCATGGCACCTTATATCATCAGAAAGGGTTACTTTACAGTAGACTAAGAGGTGGACAAGCCAGGTGCTACAAATTTTACTTAATTAGACTGCCTCTCCTCTTGGTTCTACCATTTTTGTCTAGCACAGGTGGGATGCGGAATGTAGGAAGGGGAAGTAGAATGTAGTATTTTCACTTCTTGCCCTGACTCATGCTCTAGCACACATTGGACCTCCACTCCACCAGGGGGCAGCCTACACAGTGCAGCTCATAGCAAGAGCCAAGGCAGCACAGGTAACAAGAAGAGCTGCATCCAGAGTAGACCCAAAGTTGATTCCCTAAGTTAGACACTCTCCTTAGGAAGACTGTCAGTCTCAGTGCTCCTGGACATCCTCAGGCCCAGTATGTTTTCCGTGTCAAATGGATGAGATGCCAGGTAGTTCTTATACACCCCGTCAATCAGCTTGACAGCATTGTTTTTGTCAAACCAGCAGTCTACCTGCTCTTGCCCATTATAAATCTTCCTTTGTTTCCAGACCACTGGAACTCGGCGTCCTTTCACCTTTAGAATAGCCTCAGGAGTCCCTTCTGTCTGAGGAGATGGCTGATTACTAAGATTCTTGCCATACACTGCAGGAGCTTCTATGAGTTTGACATCCTGGTTCAGGAACTGACCTGAAAAAGGAGGGGAAAAACTGATGTAAGTTGAATGCAGATAAGAGCTGGTACCTAATTTTGGTGGTATCAAGGGCAGGAGGGGTTTTCATGGACCATTGACCTAGGCTAGGCCCTCGCTGGAGGCATTCACTTACTGCCCAGGCTGACAAGAAGCACCAGACTATCTCAGGAGGAGAGATGAGATTCTCCTCATTGTGGTCTGCCTCTTCTGGAAACTGTCCATTTATTTGCTAATGCTGTGACAACAAATGGAGTTAGAGCAATCTCGGCTAAAATGGGAGGATTGCATGGTAGCAGATAAATAGGACATAGACCCACGCCCTTCCTCTCATCTTCTAAGCAATAGATTCTCCCTCATACCATCCACTAGCTGTTATGTTCTGGGGGAAGATAGTGGAAACAGTCAGTTCAACTCACCGCTGTCACTCAGCCTCAGAATTTTCCAGGTCAATTGAGGGCATTGCTCAGGCCAAGGGAACATGGAGACAGAGGTTATGCTTGGCAGCCAAACAAAATGAAACACACCAAGCTCAAGTGCCAGGAAATCCTGCCTTCTAAACTGAGCTCTGAAAGTGACTCACTCTGTATTTTAGGGCAAAGGGCCCACATGATATTGTACATTGAAGAAGGCCAGCCAGCCAGCATGGCCTGCCTGCTGCTCATAGCAACACACATGACTCCAAGGAAAGGCATCCACCTCTCATGCTCAGTGCTGGACTGCCCTAGATCTCCTTCTTCTCCCAGAATGGCAAGAAACCAGCTCTTTGGATGACTGCTCCTCATCTCTTTGAGTTCTCAGAAGTCTAATGAGAACTAGTATATAAGACCCACTCATGAAACAAATACAATTTTCAGGGCTTGGGAGATGGCTCAGTCAATAAAGTTCTGGCTTCACAAGGGTGAGGACCTAGTTTGGTCTCTGGAACTCATAAAGTTGGGCATGGTGGCATAGGTTTGTAATTCCAGAGATGGCTAGGTGTGGGGTGAAAGAGTCCCTAGAATACCATAGGTCAGCTAGTTTATAGCTACACAGAAGTTATTGGTTGATGAGAGGCCTTCCTTAAAAAGGAGGGGGAGGCATCTTACCCAAACTGTCCTCTGACCCCACAAGTACATGTTCTTCACACATACATGAACACACATACACCAAAAAAGTAATACAATTTTCACATGATATATGAAATTAGGCTTTCTACAGGCAAAAGTCTGGCATCTTTGCCCACTGCAGATTGGAAATTCATGGGGAAACATACACTGATACTGAGCATACAGACTTCCTTCTTGTCATTATTTCATAAACACAGTACAGCAACTACTTGCATAGCACCAACAGTGCCTTTGGTATAGTAAGTAATCCACAAGTTATTTAAACAGAAGGAAGAATGTGAATGGGTTTTATGAAAATTCTGCATATTTTAGACAAGGGACATTGAGCATCCTCAGATTTTAGTGCTCTTGAAAGATCCTGGAACTACAGCCCCAAAAGATGATGAAGGATAACTGGACACAGAAGGACCATACTCTCACTGTAATTTTCTGTCAAGCTCATGATATTGGTCATATAAACTCCTTTTAGGAAACCCAATACTATCCTTGAATCACAGACTGAGCATGGGCAGCCACCTACCTAACAGGCCATGGCAATTGTTGGAAAGGCCTTTGCTGTTAGCAATATAGAATCCAAGGTGGTTTCGCTGGAAGGGTGCTGGCTTTTTGTAGAGGTGAATGAGGATAACAAAGGTAATGGTTCCCTGGATGGTGACAGTGACATTGGCATTGGCAGACACCGACACCTCAAGTCCCCGACTCCCTACCACCACACTCTGGTTGCAAGGGAGGACCAGCCTGTCTCCACCATCCAGGATGACCCTGTTTGGTGTGATCTCAAGGTAAGATCTCTCTGGCTGGTTGATGAGGATGGTGATGGTCCGGAAGTATGTGCGCTGTTTCTTGTGGCCATTTGGAGGTGCTGGGGCTCCAATAAGCTCTCCATTCACAGTCACACCTCAAAGGCCAAGAAGAGAACACAGGTTAGAAAAGCCATTTCCATTCTCCAGCTAAAGACATCTGTTACAGTTTGGGTTTGAGCTGCCTCTCCCAGGGCACATGCAAAAAAGGGCTAATCTCTCAAATGGTAGTTCTATTTTAAGAGGTATTGGAAATTAGAAGGTAGGGGCCAGCTGGAGGGAGCAGGTCACTTGGGAGATGAATCTTTGTGCCTCCCTACTGCGTCTCTGAGTCTCTACTTCCTGTCAGCCATGATTTCAGCTCCCTGTGTCCCATACTTCCACTACCATGTTTCTTTGCCTCACCATGGGCCCAGAATTGATGGAGCCAAGTTATGAACTCTGACATCAGGACCCAAAACAAATTCTTCTCCCTTAAGTTTTTGATGTCACACATTTTGTCACTGATACAAGAAGCCATTGATAATATCTAAAGAATGCCTTTCCACATTTCTTATCTCTGTATCTATCACCAGGCCTGTTGTCTGAACTACAGATTTGGGCCACTTAGTGGTTGCTAACTGAGTGAGTAAATGCATGAAGCCATGAATGAGATTTTTTTTCCATCTTTAAATATAGGAAGATAGGAAGGAAGATGTAGGTTTGGGTCCAACTATCATAGAAAGTGATTAATATCTTCATGTACTTTCATTCTTGTGGCATTCTGGTGTCTGCTGGTGTGGTTCTGGTAGGCACCATGTCTACAAGCTGTCAATAATCGTAACTTAGATCCTTTGATGTCGCTGAGCAGGATTCGAAGTTCAAATGCTTTCTTTTTTTATTCAGTAGACTAATTTCTTCTACCTAATATGTGTTTATCCTGGGATAAGTCACTTTATACATTAATCTGAAATTCCTTGTCTTATAAAATGTAGGGGGATATAAAACCTAAGAGAATTGGGAGAAGGCATCATAAAAAGAGGCTTGTGTAAAAGCCATCAACTGCCATTGCATGCAACTCTTTTTCTATTTGCTACATCATAAGCACACCTGCATCTTTCCGGCCTCTGAAAGGTGTGGGAGCTTGATCCCAGAGTTCAGTGCTGTGCCACTGAACAATAAATAGATGCAGTTGTACATGGGGTATTTGAGAATGAGTTTGATGTGTGCTGTGTGCTTTGATTTCACAAAAGAGGTCATTTTCACTAATGGTAGACTCGTATATAATTAATTCTCATTTCCTTTGTTTTGAGATAATCTTCAATAAATCTTAGAAATACCCAAGGAGAAAAATCTCTTTCATGCAGCAAAGGTGTGATAAATCCCAGCCTGAACAGACACCCTTATCTTAGGTCTCAAAGTCTTAACACCTACAAACTGATTTCATGTCTTAGACATCATTATAAATACAGAAACCACAAAAGAGTTCTTTCTGTTAGTATAACAAAATGTCTGACTGAAAGCAAAGTGAAATGGTTTATTTTGGTTCATGGTTTCAATGGGATTTTGGTTCATTACAGTACAGATGGCATGGTAAGGCAGTACTCTTCATGGTAGTGGAACTATGTGTCAGAAAGTTTTACTGGGGCTAGGGACCAGGAAGCATATAGCATAACAGCAAGAAGCCAGACAAAATATATCTGCTCCTCTTCAGGGACCCAATCACAGTGACCCACTTCCTCCAAGTAAGCCCTATCTCCTAAGAGTTCTATAGTTTCCCCAATCAATGTCATCATCTGAAGACAATGTATTCAAAACATGAAGGATGTTACACATTCAAATCTCAAGCTCTTAAGAGTAAGCATCTCCCGGAAGGGTCACTGACTCAGTACCAGCTGCCTTTCAAATGAAAAAATATTACAGATTTAACTATGAGGCTAGAAAGATCTGTGTGATAAGAGCCTTGATGACTTGATACAACCTGAAATCACCTGGGAAGAGACTCTCAAGGACAGATTGTCTATAATGGGTTAGCTTGGGGGCATTCTGTGGGATGTTGTCTTAAGCTGGTTGATGTAGGCAGGCACAGCCTACTGTGGGCAGCATATTCCCTAGGCAGGGGTTCCTGGACTGTACAAGAGTGGAGAGATTTCTTTCTGTTCTTAACTGTGGATGTGATGTGACTGGCTTCTTCAATATCCTGCCTCTTTTACTTCCTTGAAGGAATGAACTGTAACCTGGAATTATGAGATAAAACAAGCTCTTTTTCTCCAGGTTACTTTGTGCAGGGTGTTTTATCACAGAAACTGAAATGAAGTGAGGACAGCCTGCAAGAATACAATCTGATAAAGGAGATCAGGGATCAAACTTCACAAAATTACATCACAAATGCAGCCTGAGGAGGTTGCTTATAACCTGACTTGCCAAGACACTTACTGCTCAGTACCTAGCATACTAGAAAGTACATGCTAAAGCCAATCCTCATTCTGCTGGGCTGTGTAGCTGTCCACATGGCTGTCCCCAAGCAATGTTGCCTGCATTGGACTCAAAAAGCATTTTCATCTTGATATAGACCTAAGGTGGCCAAAGTGCCTTTCACATATATTCATGAGCTGTGTGTTTAATGTTTGGGATTTCCACATAAGTTTCCAGGGACTATGACCTCCCTACCACCACAGCTTCTGAATGGAAAGACATAATGATAATATGATGTGATAAATTTCTACTAAAGTGTACCCATCCATGATTTGGCTAATCTACTATGTGGTAGTCCATGAGATAAGCAGAGTATTTCAACCTCCATTTAACATGATGGACACTACAGCTGCTATGGTGCAGGCCAAATGCCACACTGGGGATTTAAAGTAAGGGTCTGATTGTGTGTCCAGAAACCGTATAGTTTCTTTACCAATCATCATTGGTGCCTGCTGAACATCCAGGATGTCTCTCTTCTATAATTATAACCTTTGGCACAGAGAATGAAATGCTCATCCCTGGGCTTTGTCTAAGTACCACAAGAGAAGATAGAACTTACCAGAGTCCAGGTGATCAGAGACCAACCGAAGGATGTCCCCAGGTTCTCCATCAATGTTAAAGCAGACAGTGAGTTTGCTTAAGGGGAAATCCACAACAAAATGGGGATCACCATCCACTACCAAAAGCAACAGAAAAAGATGAATAAAATGTTTATTGACTGAATACTACTTTATGTTCTTAGATGGATCACTTCTTTAATCATAATCATAATGTTCTCAATTCTAAATGAGGAAAATATACAGAAGTGTAATAATGCCCCCCCAATGTTATCCAGTTTGTATATAGTGAGAGTACACTGACTTCTGGTCTCCTGAATTCAGATGTCATGGTATTTTTTTTTTATCATAGTTCAGACAACTAAGCATTGCAAGGCAAGACGATCTGATAAGAGAAGGGAGATGGTCTATCCATTTTCAACTACTATGGAGTTTGATTTCCCATGTGGATATGCATCTCATTTTCTTTGTCCCTTAACTGCCTTAGCAAGGAGTGAAGCCCCAGAGCTGGAGAGATGGCTCAGTGGCTGAGAGCACTGGTTGTTTTGCAGAGGTCCTGGTTTCAGCTCCCAGCACCCACACGGAGGATGTTTGTGTTGGAACTGTTGGCCTAGAAGAGTTAAGTCTTTTCAAGTTGCAAGGACATTCATTTCTTCCCTGTGACTGCTGAACCCCCTTCCCTCCAGTGCTATATCTCAGAAGACTTTGAAAAGTCTGGCAGCTCTCACTATGAAGCGCCTCAAGTCCCATGTGAATGGTAACAGAAAGAAATACAAGGTAAGGTGGGGCAATGACTCAATTGGTAAAGGCAGTTGCCTCCCAAGTCTAGGGGCCTGTCGTCAATTCTTAGAATTGAAACAGCAGGTGTGGTAGCCTGTGCTTTTTAATCTCAGTGGTGGTGAGACAGGTGGATCCCTGTAAGCTTGATATCAGCTACTTTCCCTACTTGAAGTTCTGAGCCAATGGGAGAGATCCTGTCTCATATAAAAGGTAGAAGGTACCTGAGAAAGGAGGCTGGAGATTATCCTCTGACAGACACATGTGCACCCACCCACATAAATCACTTCACAGAGGGGAGGAATGCTAGGTATCTGTCTTGATGATGGAAACAAAATACCTAGAGACAAAATTTCTTTCCATCTTTGGCACAGGTGTGTATGGACATAGCTTGCCTGACCTTTATCTGGAGGTTTCTACTGCATTGAAAACAATTTCCACCCAAGCTGTTGCTTGTTCCGAAAGTGTGTGGATGAGTCCAGCAATCATCACCACAGGCAGCTTCCAAGAGAAAGGTTTACTTGCATTCCACAGCACAGATGCACATTAGAAAGTGCATTCTCTCCATGGAACGATATGTGCTTCAATTCCCACAGCTAATCACTGGGATGTCCCTGGCTTTGTGAACTAGCACGTGTGCCTCATCAGCAGAAAGGCAAGAACAAGAACTTACAAGGGAAGACGTGGACACTAGGAGAGTAAAACCCAGACATTCTTCCATCCTGATTGTTACTATATTATATTCTTAGAAGATGCTGCCAAAAGGAAAATTTTACTACATCTTCAGCCTGTGCTTCCCTTCCAAAGCAAGGATTCAAAAACAGCAAAAATTCATAAAACTGCCTTATACAGCCAGACAGCTTTATTTTTGTAACACCATTTTTATCTTTGGGATTGCAGAGGCTGGATGCACACTTCGCTCTCTAAAACCCAGTGTCCTGTATACACAGTAATGGGCAAAATGAGTCCCTACTCTCCATCCCCTCTATTGGCACTGCTACCAGACTGGGTCACCTCTGTGGTGTTTATAAAATGGCTTCTGCTGGTTCTGGTTCATGTGCTTCATGTTGCTGAATAAAACAGGTCATGGGGACAACTTCTATGTCCTGTGCCCCTGTTTTTACTGGCTTTAGAGAATTTGAAAAATCCCTTACTCTCAATTATTCACTTACCTGATGTTTTAGAGATTTTAATTCTTGGGCTGTATGGTTTCTTGAGATCAGGTCCTAAAAAGGACATGGAAAAGAATGGTTGTTATGTGTTAAAGATGTGTGGAGAGGCACAGAGAGCAGCAGGTGAAGATGAGAAACCTGTAGCAGGTTTCAGATATATTTGTAATAACAGTAAGAGTCAAAAAAAGCCAAAGATCATAAATTCCAGGCAAGCCTGGGCTATATAGTGTAGCCTTATATCAAACAATGAGACAAAAGCAAAAGCAAGAATTAAAAACATTCTCCAAACATGATCTAGGGCCAGCAAGATGACTTGGCAGGTAAAGGCACTCACCTTGCCACCAAGTCTGACAACCTGAGTTCAATCCCTGAGACCCACATGATAGAGGGAAGAAAAAGCAACTCCCTCATGTTGTTCTCTGACCTCTACTTGTGTTCCATGTACCACCACCCCACAGGAGCCCACACACGCCATAAACAAATGTAATATTTTAAATAAATAAATCACAATGAAGTGTCACAAACTTAGCCAGCACAAGCTCCATCTGAGACTGGGAGAGGCTTGGACATGAGGTCCTGAAATCAATACACTTCTGGGACTACACACCCCAAGGGAGAGAGAGACAGCTAATAATAATTGAAGACTCGTTCTATGCCAGAGGACAATGACTAAATAGTCCTGGCAATGGACCTTCATGGAATGTATTATTATTCCCACTTATAGACAAGCAACTGTACTCTCCAGGAGGTCTATAAATGTGTCCCGGACTTCACAGCTGCTCAGGAGGGTCCATGGATCCAAACTTCATGTTCTCTGGGCCATTGCACGTGCTTGTCAGAGTTTAATGTGAGAAATAAATTAACCAGCATTTGTGGGACTCTGAGAGGGCCTGGTTAGCTTCAGTCTCCTCTCCAGGAGTTGGAAATTTGGCAAGAACTATAAAAATGTTACACTTTCCACGTGTTCGTGGTAGAAATGATTCAGCCCTTCGCTTTGGTTTAGACTTTTCTCCTGTCTCTGAGGACTCTATCAAATGGCATCAAAATGGTCAGTGTGTAGATCAGGAATTTTCTAGAGTCCACACATGTTTTTTTTAATGTCTATATAATATTTGTTTCTGTTTTGCTGAGACAAGATCTTACTACATAGCCCAGCCTGAGCTCAAACTCACTGTCCTGTCTGAGCCTGATGTGCTGACTTCAGCAGGCCACATGTCTCAGCTGCCTACCATTCTTCTCATGACTCTTGTGAGCTACAGTTTATGACGAGTATAGCTGTTTGAGAGGTCATCTGTAACCGTGCACTTCATGTAAGGTCATTGTTTATAACAATTGCAATGTGAGAAAAACAAAACAGACTTCTGCCGAGGTTCTCTTGGCCTTACAAGGAATTGGCACTCACACACAGGCCACCCCTGAGGCTGTGCTACCTGGCTGCTTGTCAGCTCCTCGCATGCTCTGCATCACTGTCTCAGGTCCTGTGGCTGCAGACATGCCGCGGGTGTCCTCCAGCCCCTCCGTGCGGAGCCCTGGCTTCTTCAGCTTCATGGAGGTGAAGGGGGTGAGGAAGTGGTAGTTCAAGGCTAACGCCTGGGCCTTCTGCCTCAACTGCTCCTTCTCTTGTTCACTGCTGCTCTGCAGCCAGGAGCTCAGAAGCTCCTTCACAGTGAGGTAGCTCCAAAGACGCTCGATGTGGTTGGGGTCCTCCACACTATCACGGGAGGAGGTGGCTGTGACATCATTCCCCAGCTTCTGGGACTCCACAGGGATGTCTTTCTTCAGGATGACAAATTTCTTACTGTTGCTGGCAGTGACCTCCACATGGAACTGATCAAACTTCCTGTCTACCATCTTCCCGGCAATGACGATCTCAGAACCATTGAAGTAGTTGGGGAACAGGGTTTTGGTGGCATGCTCTACAACGTCAGGAGGATAATCTACACGGATGTCAGAAAGAAGCGGGGTCCGGATTTCATCATAGAACCTGCAGAGAGGAAGGACAGAGAGAATCAGGGCCTGGCTGGGCTACAGGTGGTCAGTCCAAGGAAATTAGAGTCTCTGAGGGCGTGGGTCTGACTATGCGCATGATGGCCTCCCATACTACATTAAGCGCATCATTTTGATGGCAGATGTAACATCTTCAAAGATATTTGCTTACAGTAGAACTTTGTGCTCACTTTTGTCTCTTTATTTTTGTTGGGCCTAGGGGTCAGAAATGACATTGACTTACTTTCAACACTGCAGATACGGATAACTCCTAAGTTGGGCACAGATGGAGTAGAATCAACCTGGGTCCCTGAATTACCAGAGGCTAATCTGTATTAACTGTCAAAGGAGCATTAAATAACTCACTTAGTAAGCCTTTACAGCTGGAGGTGTCTGTTCAGCATTGTAACCTCTACCCTTATCTACCTATCTTCTATCTTGTGAGGATCATAGGACATGATGAATACAAAAAAAAAAAAAAAAAAAAAAAAAGCACAGTTCTTTTTAAGTTCTTGGGAACGCAAGGTTTGGATAGCATTCCCAGTAGAATTGCAGTGGGCAGTGTAGCTAATTGGCTTCAATGTAATTGCTTTTTCTTCGTGAACTTCTGACTAAATCACAGTTCTGTTATATGGTGCAGTAAGTTTTCTCTCTTTGAATCTGGTTTTGAATAATTTTTTATGATGTAGGAAGCAGATTTGTGTGCTCACTTAAATTTTTCATTGAAATCCTAGGAGAAAAATGGTGGCCAGTCCCTTAGCAACCAGCCATGTTTATCACACACCTTAAAGACTTTCAGTCGGCTTATGATCCATAAATCTCTTTGATTGTGGCTACAAAAATCTAGATAAATCATACTTTTCCTTTGCAATAGATCCCATTATTTGCACAATGCTGACTGAGTTCCACTGTGCTGAACCTGGAGATAGTGCTTAATTCAGCCAACAACAAAACCACATACTATGATAAGCAGCATGGTATCTGGGACAACATAGTTCTGTCTTAGAAGACCTAAGTTCTAGATGTTTTCTACCACTTTTTTCACACACATACTCACACACACACACACACACACACACACACACACAACATTCTGAGCCTTCACCAGTTTTAATTGATCATTTTACTTCAAATTATATTATCATTTCACCAGTTATTCAAAATATCAAGATGTCAATTGTAACCATACATTGATTGCTAATGGGCAATGTTCACTGTGCTAAAACTTTACCTAATTTTTCCCACTAAACTACCATTAGCTATAACACTCATTTTGCAGAAGAGGAAACTGAGACATGGACTCAAATCTGACTGGATTCAAAGCACATTATGGTCAGGCACGGTGGTATACCCAGGTAATCCCCAGTTACTGTAGGGACTGAGACAGGAGGGCCACAAGTCCAGGGCCATCTGAAGAATTTAGCAAGACCCACATCAAACTAGAATAACAGAAGGGCTAGCTCACTGGTGGGTGAATCTCTTACTTAGCATCCACAAGACCTGTGCTTCAGAATAATAATTTTTAAAAATAAGAATAAAATACACTGTGATATTCCTTGATGCAATGAGCTGTCTTCAGCTCCAGCAGATGTGAGGATAAGGCCCATCCAAAGTTATCCTCAGCTCCAGATTCTTACTACATCCACCCTCAGCCCCTGCCCTTGCCTCTGGTTATGAGAAGACAGACAACAGACCCGATGAGCTGTGCTCCTGCCTTCTCCTCCTCATGAACGTGCCGTGTAAGACCACAGTTCTCCAGCGAAAGTTTCTCTAACAGCTTGGAATCCACATCATTGCCGATGCCAATGGTAAAGATGCAGATCTGACCTCCAGCGGCTTCTTTGGTATTGCTGAGAATCTTGAGGGTACTGGTCTCCCCGAAGGTGGGTTTCCCATCGGTGAGGAAGATAATGAGGGACACACTCCGATCTTCAATGTCATTCTGGGCCACATAATTGTTGAGCAATTTGATGGCCATCTGCAGAGCCCCATTGATGTCGGTACCTGTAGAACATCAACACAGGACTTTGTACTCACCTTCTACCTCTGAGTGCACACTTACAGTTGCAGCAGCCTTCACCATTCAGGGTTTGAGCAGCACTTAGATGCATGCAGGCAGCTGCATTTCCAGGGTGACTCTATGGCCTATCTAGAAATCTGACAACTATATACAAGTGACTTGAAATGATCCCAGTGTAAAAAACCTGCTTTTGGGACTGGGAAGGTACACACACATATATACACATGTATACACACACACACACACACACACACACACACACACACACCTCCCCTGCCTTGCCATCCCACCTATGGAGTATCTAAAAGTACACTTTTAATTGTATCTCTAGTTAAAATGGTCAGATAGTGCCTTGAACAGATGCTAAATGACTGTTTTCTTGGTGGGTGGAGAAATTGGCAGTTGATTGACTGAGTTGGAAAGTGCCTGCAAGAGCAGTGTTTCTGGATGAGCTAAAAAAATTCCATTCAGCTTATCAGCCACATCCCTATGACCAGGAGGGAACCCTGTTCTTACTGTAACATAGAACATCTGTTTCTTTTAATGATTCTTTCTAATGGCATGAGATAAAATGTGTACACCAAACACCCTCATTTTAACTCATTGGCTTTCAAGAATTGGCTTAGATAAAATTTATATGTCAAAATGTTTCCACATGCTAAACAGTGTTTTTAGTAAAATGTAGAGTTGTGCTGCCCCAACCACCGTCCAGAGCCCTGATTGAAATGGGAAAAAAAAATGTACCATTTTTAAAAGAGTCTTAATTATTTCCCTCATTGATTTCTGTCCTCAACACACACACACACACACACACACACACACACACACACACACGTGCACGTGCACGTGTGTACACTCATGGTAGAAGCTGGACATAGTGATGCATACATGTATTTCTAAAATTCAGGAAGCTGAGGCAGGAGGATTGCTGAGAGTTTGAGGCCATCCTGGGCTATAGAGTGACACTGTCTCAAAAGAGAAAATAAATATAAGAAGAAAAGTAGATAATCCATGCTCTCAACAAATGTATCCATAAGTCTTGCTAAAGTGCATGGAGACCAGATGGACAAGAAAAGTGCAGCTGAAACAGAATCTAGCTTTAGAGTCATTAATTTGCCTTTTTCGTCCTTTTAAAGAAGGGAATCATACACAGCACGTGGGCAGCAGTGCCTGGTTCAGCAGTCTTAGAAAGCTTCACTGCCTTCATGCCCGGTTCCACCTGGTGCAGACACACCAGGCACCGCACTCAAGGATTGCATAGAGGGATTTGGAGATCAGCCCTCTCCTTCCACTTCACACCCACAGCGCAGCTCAGGGTATCTGAGACTCCTGCCCTCTCACCATGCTGTAGCTCAAGCAAGACCATAGCTTGTTTTACAGTGCAGTTCCCTCTGCCACTGCTAGAATACATACAAAACACTGGATCATGCACTTGGCTTCAAGTCTCCATCTTAGAGAGAGTTGACTCAGCAGTAAGGATCACTTCCTGTTCTTCCAGAAGAGCCAAGTTCAGTTCCCAGTACTCACACTAAGTGGCTCACAACTAACTGCCTGTAACACCAGGAGATCTGATGCCCTCTTTTGGTTTCCAGCAGCACTCCCACTTAGAGGTCATCAATTTAAACACACACACACACACACACACACACACACACACACACACACACGTAGATAAACCTAAAAATATTCTCCAACCAAGAATAATTTACCAAAACCAGCTTCCTTGTTCAGGATCCAATCAGTTCCAATGATAACTTAAGGTCTAGGAATTGAGAATTTACAAACTTATAGGCACCTGAAAATATTGTTATTATTGATTCCATTGTTAGTATCAGCTTCAACTCCCCAAGCCATGTGTCTTTACAGAAAATGAACCTATGATCGTGTCAGCCTGGGTAGAAAGGCCGGAAGAAATCCCTCTTACCTCCAGTGGGTGACAGGTGGTAAATGTAGAGCTTGCCATTCCTGATGTTATCAGGAGTCACTGGTAACAAGTGGTCCTTCCACACTTTAATCCGGTTGGAAAACCCAATGATATTGAAATGATCCTGGGGTCGGAGGTCATTGAGAATTGTGACGAGGGCTTCCCTGGTCTAGACAAAGAAAAAGCCAATTTGGTCACACATGGGCCCATTAATTCTCGTGTTCCCTGACTAAGAATCTGACTACCAAGACCAGTGTTAAGATTTTTATTTAACATCTGCTATGTAAAGAGCACTGGTCACTGGCTGAAACATGGTATAAATATATGACAGCTGAATAGTAGACATGAATGAGTGTTTTACTCAATCCTAGGTCACATGCTGCTACCAGGCATAATATGTCAGATCAATGCATCTTCACATTCTCTTCTAAAACGTTTAAATTAAGGTTTGATTTGAATATGTGTATATGTGTGTATGAGTATGTATGTGAATGCACACTTGACATGTGACACGGACCAGTGGTGTCAGAGGACATTTCGTGGAAGTCTTCACCATATGAGTCCTATGGGTTGAACTCAAGCTATTAGATTTAATAGCAAACATCTTTATCTTCTGAGCCAGCTCACAGATCATTCTAGAATGTTCTTCCACACTGTTTTGTCCCTATATTTCACCTAAGAAGCCACTTATCATTGTCCAGCACCTAGAAAGATGGGCTAAATTCTCACTATGAAAGTTGTCCTCACTGCTCCAAAGGGACCTGTCATTCCTTCCTCTAAGCTGGCCCTCAATTTGACACACTCCTGTCATAAAGTACATTTGAGAGCAATGATGGCTTGTTTTATGTCTTTCCCCTGTAACAGAGGCTAAGGTTTCTGCAGGTGGGTTTCACTCATCATCCTATTGCCCAGTAACATTAGGAAGTGGCAGACACAGGTCTAGTAGTGATGAATGAATGACTTAATATGTAACAAATTGTAAAATTAAAGATAATAATAAATATATTTGTGGCAGTTATAATGAAAATGGTCCCCATAGTCTCATAGGGCGTAGCATTTTTAAAATATTAGGGGGTGTGGGTTTTTGTAGTAGGTATGGCCTTACTGGAGAAAGTGTGTTACTGGGAGTGGGGGTTTGAGGTTTGAGAGCTCAAGTCAGGCCCAGTGGCTCTCTTGTGCCCCCCCTCCTCCTCCCTTTCCCTCTCCCCCCTTCGGTCATCCACCCTTTCTCTATTCCTGCTGCCTATGTATCAGGCTGTAGAACTCTCAGCTACTCTTCAGCACCATGTCTGCCTGCATGTTGTCATGCTCACTACCATGATGATAATGGTCTAACCCTCTGAACTGTAAACCGGCCCCAATTAAATATTTTCTCTTGTATGGTGCTATGGTCATGGTGTCTTTTCACAGCAATAGAACTTTGACTAAGACAATATTATTTTTCAAAGATTTTATTACCTTTATTTATTTGTGTGGATGGGTAAGGTGTGTGTGCTTGTGCAATATTGTATAGAGATCAAAGTACAATTTTTCAAGGTTCTCTTTTTCCACCATGTAAGTCCCAGGGATTGAACTCGAGTCATTGGGTTTGGTGGCAAGAGTCTTTATCCACTGAGCCTTTTCTTGAGCCACTATCATAGGATTTTGAAATATTATAAAATCTCTGAAACAGTGACATAAGGATATCCTATAAAGGAAAGAATTTGAAGCTAGACATAGTGGTGCACTTGCAATCCCAGCATTCATGGCTAGTATCAGAGCTGAGGTTAAGGCCAGTTTGGGATCCATGGTGAGATTTTTGTCTTAAGAGCTGAGGGAGGGATGGTGGGAAAGAGAGAAAGGATAAGAGGATAAGGAGGAAAGATTAGAGAGGAGAGGGATCCAGGACTTAAAAGAACTGACAGAACCAGGTAGCACAAACAGCACAAAGTAGAGGATCTAAGAAGGAAAACAACTTGAGCATGACAAAGAAGGAGTCAAGTGAATTTAGGGGATAATAACTGGATAAAGGTGACTATTTGAATCTTCTGTGTTTGTAGAAAAAAAGAAACCATAAGAACTTGAGAAGAGAAATAGTCTAAGCCTGGACAAGAGATTTCATAACCGCACAGAGAGATGCTGCCATGCCTCGTGAGTACTGTCATCAGACATTAAGGAGACTCGGTAAAGGAAGTTAAGGACCTGCATTACACAGTCACCATAGTAATGGCTCTGGGCACATTGTTTGCCCTCGGTTCAACCCTGTGCAGGAAGTTCTGTGGCGTACATCGCTGTTCCTAGTTATCCCAGCAGCCACCTCAGGACAACAGCCTGCTTCATCAGTCATGAAGGTTAAGTCAGGTACACAATGAAAGGCGCTTGGAAGGGAGCGGGACAGATAGTCAATGTTATGTTTGGTTTGCTTTTATTTGGTTCCCAGAAAAAAAGTACAAGGAGAATTCAGAGATGCAGTGGCTTCCAGGGTGGGGGTGTGTTTACAGAATAATGCACTATATGGAATGTATGTCTGCTTTAGCATCCTACTAGACTTTCCCCTGGGTTTTGCGAGCCTTGCTTGGTATCCTGGATCCAGACAGTGCTGTATTTTCTGCCTCTGCCTCCATGGGAAACTCCCACCACTTCCTAACTGTCCCTTCTGAATGTCTCCTTCTTCCTCACTCCCCTGTCATCTTTCCATCCTGTATCCAGTTCTTGCTCTAAGATCTCAGTCTAACTCTTGTATGTATTCCAAAGGAACCTCCAAAATCCACTTTAGAAAACTATGCTGGATGTGTTGTGTTTAAAACCCTCCATACACACACTCTCTCTCTCTCATAGAGCTTAGTGAGTGGAGAGCTTCTACCCAGCTCCTTGGTGATCCCTGCTGAATTATTGCTCCTTATCTTCCCATCATTTCTTCATTCTAGGGGACTGGAAAAACAGCAGAGTCTGAAGATATCTGTCACTAGAAGTATGAAGAGGCTAACGATGGTGATGATATTAACAGCTAGTGTTTATGCCCACTAGACATCATGCTGAGTGCAAGGTGAGTGTCTGGCTCAATCCCCAGTCACCTGTGATAAAGCCTCTGCCAGTATTCCCCCTTTATAAAGGATGCCACTGAGATGTGGAGGGATGAAGAATTGCATCCCATAGGAGATTGGATTAAAACACAGGAAGTCTCATGCCAGGGCCCACACTGCCATCCAAGACAGTGGGATCTGCAGCTCCAAAAACATTGGAAGCCAAGTATCCTGAGTTAGAGCCTTTGAGCTTGCAGCTTGCTTTGGGAGCGCTTCCAGCTTGCCTGCCAGGCTGTTTCTTCCAGTTCATTTTTTTGGCAGCAGCTAATGAATCTATCCTCTATAATATCCCTGAAGAAAGCACTGCAGGAATTCCATATCCACCCAGGAATGAGAACAATGGGCACAGTTCATTAGGTCCATCTCCTCACTCTTCCTGGGGCTGCCTCCCACAGTTCATCTCTTCACCCTTCTCGGGGTGGGAGGCTGCCTCCCACTCCCAGTTTTTCCAGGAAAAGAGAAGCAAGACAATGCTAATTGTCCCTCGTGAAGCTAAGATGGCCACCACACCCCATTCTTCCTCTTCCCCGTTTTGGTCTTCCTAGATCAAGGCCTTTTCTCAGAAGCTAAATCTTGATGTGGAGGGTTCCATTCTCCTCCTCAGCCCTGACTCCCATCCCCGGGAAACATGGCTGAGTGTCCTGAGTCAATACACAGAATCCATACTCCAAAAGGCCAGAACTTCCTATAGGCTGTCTGTGAGATGCTCTGCCATGAGGACTCATCCTATAAATGTGTTTGCTCTGACTTCTGGGGGTCCCCTGTCTATCTGGGATTTCCATGGTCTCTCCAAGTGCTTCCTTCTTACTCCCGTCAATGTAAGAGTCACAGAATGACTTTAAAGCTGAATTTCCAGCTCAGCTCTCATACCTCACTCTTACCCTCACCCCAGAAAATTTATCTATATCCAGGATGTAACCACCAATCCTTACCACCTCCCAGATTTCTGGATTTCCCTTTGGAATGTGCTTCTCTCTAAATTCAGGACAACCTGTCAATCAGTTCTTCAGGCAAGACCCTTGGGCAGCTCAGACTCAGCTTGCTGAAAACTGGACACTTTATCTTCTTCCCCAAATCTGCCACTCTTTGCTCTTCTCTGTCTCCCAGGCAAAGGACCGTTCAGAAGCCCCGAAGCCTTTGTTAAACGGTGGACATCATGTCCAAATTTCTTCCTGCCCCACCTGCAAGGCCCATTCTTTCTAAATATCCAAAGGATTGTAATCAGAGTGCTCTCCATTTGTTGTTGTCTTTCATTTTGTTACTTACACACCTGTTTGCATACTGTATTTGAGACAATGTCTCACTATGTACCTCAAGATGACCTTGATCTGATAGATAGCTCACACTGGCTTCCAACTCATAGATTCTTCTGCTTCAACCTCCCCAGTGTTGAGGTTCCAGGCATGTGCCAGTACCCCCCCAACTGCAGTAAGAATATGTAGTTAAATGTTTGCACTCTGCTCGTGTGAGTGGGGCATCCCAGCATACACATGGTGGCCTCATGCAGGAAACTGGCCATCCTGGGAGTCTTGTTTTTATTTTCATTGACAGCTAGCTCACCTAGCATGAACATCAGACAGGTGTCATTCCCCATCAAAGCATCTAGCTCCCAGGAAGGTCTGCGGCACCATGACTGAGAACATCAATAAACATGTATTCTCTTTAGGCAGTGTTTATTTGAGCTCATATCCACAGCTCTGAGGGACCTGGAGCTGGCGAGGCTGTGGTTCAAGAGCTCTTGTCAAAAATAGTTGTTTGTTTTGCTGCTGGTATCTCTAGGGACTCTTAAAGAGTATCCTAAAAATCTTGGGAGCAAGCAGCCTGTCTCCTTTGTGGGTATTTTCCCCATCATGTTGATAGTTCTCTGTAGTCATTCAGTCTCCCTTCCTTCCTCTTGGCTCAGTTACTGCTCATTCCTCGTGACCTTGGAAGGCCTCAGCTATGACTTACCCTCGTGTGCATCAAGGGAAGGAGGGAAAGCAGCCCACAGTCATTCCATTTCCAGCCCCATTAGAACTACCTGGGGGATCTTGCAACCCATCTCAAAGGGAGCTTAGAGGCATACAGATTCTTGACCGTACCTTAACCCCACACTGGTCTTTTATCC